TGGTTTTCTAGCTATTGTTGGGGTTTAATTATGTAATTTAATATAATATTTTTCATTTTTTTTTTATCAACAAAAGAAAAACTTTATTGATGAAGAAAAATTTACAACAGATAACTTACATCAATAAAGAAGAGAAGTGTAACAAGCATCATAACCACACTCAACAATCCTAACTAGGTTGGCACCGAAGAGGTAGCTCAATCATATGCTAGCACAACACCCGTGATTGGAGAGGATCCAATCAACCAACCAAGAATAAGTAAACAAAGATAGCTAAAAAACACAATACATCCAAGATAAACACCCCAAATCTAATCCTGCTCTTTAGCAGCAGGAAACAACTAGGAATAGATTCATAAGCCCCACACCTTGAGCCCAAGCTTCCACGCAAACTATCCTCTGCTTTCAAAGATCAAGACAAACAAACACTAAGTAAATCAAAGCAACGCTAAAGCCATCACAACAGCACACAGCAACAAATCTGTAGCAGCTAGCATAAGCATCATCCAAAGCAGCAACCATTAGCAGTGTATCAGAAATAGCACTACACCAGAATAGCACTGCACCAGAAATAGCACTGCAATAGCAACCATAAGTAGCTAGTTGGCATGGAGGGAGAGGGTTAAAACAATTGGTCTTTTACAGAGATTTGGGCCCTTATGTAGTACTGTGGTGAATTTGTGCCCATTTTGTAAACTGGAAGTAGAGTCAATGGATCATATTTTTTTGCAGTGCTCTGAGATTTGGAAGGTTTGGTCATTTGTGATGCAGTGGTGGGGATTCTCTTGGGTCACACCTGCTACAATTGACGGAGTGATGTTATGGCGGCTGGGAACAAAGTTAAAGAAGTCAGCTGTGAAGATTTTGTTGGAAATGGTTATAAAATTCTGGATAAAACCAGAATTTTTTCCTAAGTTCGGTCTATTTTTTAGGTGGGCCCCGAGTGTCGATTTACTCGGGTCAAAGTGGTAACGCGTTCTATGCCGCGTTGTGATTCACGTGGTATATTTGGTTGATCAAAACCATTACCGAGTGAATGGGAAATTAAAGCCAAAGTGTGCTCCATGGAAATAAAGTTTTGGTGGAAATTCCTTAAGGTGGTAAATTGGCTTGTCCCACATTGATTTGGTGGGAAGTTTTGAAAGGGTTTATAAGGCTTAGGGTGAGATACTTGGGGTGTGCCCCAAGGGGTACCCAAGTGTTTTAGAGGGAGAGGTTATGGGCAAAATGGGCTAGACCCATTGGACCCAAAAAAACACCACACGCGCGCCGCCGCCGCCGGTCGGGCGGGCTGGGCTGGGCTTGTGCGTGGTTGGGTTGGGCCAAAAACATTTGAATTTAATTTTATTTTTTATTAAAATAAAATCCAGAATTCAAATTAAATTAGTTTGGATTTTTTGTTCATCCAAACAGGGCCCTTCCCGTTTTCAAACAGAATTAAACTGTTTTGGATTTATTGCTCATCCAAACAGAGCCCTTCCCGTTTCTATCTGTTTGAATAAACAGATTCAAATCTGTTTAAATTTGAATCTAACAGGTTTCATACCTGTTCAATTCAAAACCAAAAGCCACCTTTACATCTATAAATAGACTAGCCTCCCATTTGGATTAAACTCTAATTTTCGTACTCCATCCTTTCTCTGCAAATTTATTCTTCATTTTGCTGCATTTAAGGCTGGTTTTAAAGAGCGTAAACACTAAGTGTGTTCGTAAGGCAAACAATTAATAGTGCTGCTATTGTTTGTGGTAGATCATTTCATCCTGGGAGATAGACGTCCAAATTCTGAAAGCACCGTGGAGAGGACGAATCTGTCTTAAGGACACAGTGTTAAACACTGGACTTGATCAGAAAAGTTATTCAAATAAATTAACCAAGTAAGTTGTTTAATTTTATTCAGTTTTTTATTTGTTTATTTAATCAGATTTTATTTTTATTTTTGTAACAAAATAAATCTGTGGTTTTATTTATTTATTTATAATTTCGAGTTTGATTTTTGTAATCAAAAATATTCTCTCATTTTCTTTATTTCTTTACATTCTTGTTGTTGTTTTGTACACAACAGAATTTAACTTAATTAAATACAGTGAAGATTGTCCAACAACTGTTTGTAATAGTGTTTTATTGTGTAAGAAAGTGATTGAACACGGAATCTGTGCAATATGTTGGTGGTCGGGGTGTGGGTTATGTTATTCGCATGCAATGCATATGCATATGTTAAATCTAACCTCTGCTGGTGGATTTGGTCTCTCCTTACGGCTCTCTGACCTCATATTAATAGCAACTGTTACATTAAATAACCTTTTAGCATGTTTTTTGTATTTTTCTAGTTTTAGTAACAAGGAAAATAAAATTATTTTGTTGTTATAATTTATTTTCTGGTTTTAGTAATTAGAAAATTAATTTGTATTTTAATTTTTTCTGATTTTTGAAATCAGAGATTATGGCTACTACAACTGAAACTGTATCTGGCAGTGGTACTCCTATTGTTACACCTACATCGGTCCCTATCCAGAACCATGAGTTTTGTAATCAGAGATTATGGCTACTACAACTGAAACTGCATCTGGCAGAGGTACTCCTATTGTTACACCTACATCGGTTCCTATCCAGAACCATGTTTATGTACCAATCAATCATGGAGAAAAACCGAAAAAATTTAACGGTACCGAGTTTAAGAGATGGCAGCAGAAGATGCTGTTCTATCTTACAACTCTTAATTTGGCCCGGTTTCTCCATGAAGAGGCTCCAGCACTTAAAGAGGGTGAAAGTGATCGGCAAGTTGTTGCCGCTGTAGATGCTTGGAAACATTCAGATTTCTTGTGCAGAAACTACATCCTAAATGGCCTTAACAATATGCTGTATAATGTATACAGTCCTCTGAAAACAGCAAAAGAATTGAAGGATTCTTTGGAGGAGAAATACAAGACAGAAGATGCCGGCACGAAGAAATTTGTCGTCGGTAAATTTCTGGACTTTGTTATGGTAGACTCCCAAACGGTAATATCTCAAGTTCAAAGTTTTCAAATAATTTTGCATGATATTCATTCAGAAGGTATGTCTCTTAGCGAGTCATTCCAAGTCGCAGCTTTAGTGGAAAAGTTACCACCGGCTTGGAAAGATTTCAAAAATTATTTAAAACATAAACGCAAATAGAAAGTGAATGGGAAATTGAAGCCAAAGTGTGCTCCATGAAAATGGAGTTTTGGTGGAAATTCCTTAAGGTTGTAAATTGGCTTGTCCCACATTGATTTGGTGGGAAGTTTTGAAAGGGTTTATAAGGCTTAGGGTGAGATACTTGGGGTGTGCCCCAAGGGGTACCCAAGTGTTTTAGAGGGAGAGGTTATGGGCAAAATGGGCTAGACCCATTGGACCCAAAAAATCACCACACACGCAAATTAATTTGTGTTTTAATATTTTCTGATTTTTGTAATAAGAGATTATGGCTACTACAACTGAAACTGCATCTGGCAGTGGTACTCCTATTGTTACACCTACATCGGTCCCTATCCAGAACCATGTTCATCATGGAGAAAAACCGGAAAAATTTAACGGTACCGAGTTTAAGAGATGGCAGCAGAAGATGCTGTTCTATCTTACAACTCTTAATTTGGCCCGGTTTCTCCATGAAGAGGCTCCAGCACTTAAAGAGGGTGAAAGTGATCGGCAAGTTGTTGCCGCTATACGAATATGTAATATGTGCTATTTGTTGGAAATGGTAGAAAAATTCTGGGTAAAACCAGAATTTTTTCTCAAGTTTGGTCTATTTTTTAGGTGGGCCCCGAGTGTCGATTTACTCGGGTCAAAGTGGTAACGCGTTCTATGCCGCGTTATGATTCACGTGGTATATTTGGTTGCTCAAAACCATTACCGAGTGAATGGGAAAGAACCTCAAAGCTTTAAGGCAGCAATGACAGGTCCTGAAGCACCTTTGTGGAAAGAGGCTGTTAATAATGAAATTGAATCCATTATGCAAAATCATACTTGGGAACTTGACAATATGCTGTATAATGTATAATTCAAACTTCAACATAATCAATACAAATTGAATTTATTAATACAATCAACATAAATTAAATGAATTACGAAATCTAACTCAAGCTTCTAGTTCTGCATTCATTCTCCTAATAATTTGTATATGTAAAAATTATTAGACTCGTGGTTTTCAAACTAGTATTAACAGCAAGATATTGAGCCACTCTGCGCACTTAAAAAGATTATCGACAAAAAATATATCAAACTAGTATTAACAGCAAGATATTGAGCCACTCTGCGCACTTAAAAAGATTATCGACAAAAAATATATCAAACTAGTATTAACAGCAAGATATTGAGCCACTCTGCGCACTTAAAAAGATTATCGACAAAAAATATATCAAACTAGTATTAACAGCAAGATATTGAGCCACTCTGCGCACTTAAAAAGATTATCGACAAAAAATATATCAAACTAGTATTAACAGCAAGATATTGAGCCACTCTGCGCACTTAAAAAGATTATCGACAAAAAATATATCAAACTAGTATTAACAGCAAGATATTGAGCCACTCTGCGCACTTAAAAAGATTATCGACAAAAAATATATCAAACTAGTATTAACAGCAAGATATTGAGCCACTCTGCGCACTTAAAAAGATTATCGACAAAAAATATATCAAACTAGTATTAACAGCAAGATATTGAGCCACTCTGCGCACTTAAAAAGATTATCGACAAAAAATATATCAAACTAGTATTAACAGCAAGATATTGAGCCACTCTGCGCACTTAAAAAGATTATCGACAAAAAATATATCAAACTAGTATTAACAGGAGATCGAGCCACACAACCAAAAAGATTATCGACATAATGGCGAAGCAATGGATTTTCAAAATTGTAAATTGCATTAAATTAATCAAATACAAAAGCTGGAAAAGAGCAAGGAATATTTCTACCTGCTATATTCACTTCTCAGCCCAAGAGGGTACAACAAAACATTTATGTTGAACTACTAAAAATTGTCACAACTCTGTTTGGCGAGCTTCTTTCTTCTTTTGCAGCTTGTGATGACTCCTAGGGAACAGTAGATCATTCAGTTGTCTCTCGGCACTATACTCTGAAGAGGCCTGCAAATACGATTCAGTTGGGACAAAAGCAAGTATTAACAATATATCAACCTCAGGCATAGGGATACTGCATCTTGTAGTCCTTCACCATCATTAATGCTTCATTTGTTTCGGCGAAAAACATTTTCCTACATTTCGTTGCAACTTTGAAACTTATGTGCTAGTCATTGTATTAGTGGTGGTGGGGTGGTGGAGGTGGGGGCGGTGGTGGTGGTGTTGTGTTGGTGGGGGCGTTGGGGTGGTGGTGGTGAGGCGGCGGAGGAGATGGCGGTGGTTGTGTGGTGGCATTAGTAAAACTTTAGTCCAGAAAATATTTTCCAAATTTGAAAAGTGAAAAAACATTTTCTGCCCATGAGCTTGTTTTCCATTTAACAAAAAAAAAAATATGTTGACTTTCATTTTCCATCATACCAAACGCCAGAAAAAGCAAAAAATATTTTTCGTCCAAACAAATGGAATGTAGTATTAGAAGTATATAGTCAATTTCATGTATGTGAACTGTGTACAAAGGTACAGGTAATGCATGACAGCCATGCATCCATCACAATTAAAATTTAGAGAATTTACTTTTTCGTTTTAGACATGTTGGACACTTGTCCAACAAGTGTGAAGGCTTCGTACAATATAAGTGCAAGCATATAGGGCCTGTGTCAGTGCCCATGTTGCTTTAAACACCCTTTATATTTTCAAATCAAGAGGTAGTCTGTACTTATTGGAGAGCTCATAAGCTTTGAAATTCAATTTCTTTTCTTTAAAAGCAGGTATCTAAGCTGAACCACTAAAGCATGCAACAGAACTAACTGTTGTAAATATATAAATAAAAATACACAACTTTTGCTTCAAGAGTTGCAGATTTTATTTATTTTTTCTTTTCAATTACAAGCCAATAGCCTTGACTCTGCTGTGTGAAACAAATGAAAAAACAAGTACAAGCTAATTAATTTAACAAAGATTAAAATGTAAATTATATAGGAAGAAGTACATGTATTAGTTCACATTTGGTTGATGAAACAGAAGGGACTGCATTAGTTTGATATTATTGGATAATAATAATAATAATAATAATAATAATAATAATAATAATAATAATAATAATAATATAGAAATACAAAATGTATACAGTATGATTCTTTAAAAAAAAATCTGGAAAATTATATTTTCCTTTTGTTGAAAAATGAGAATAGGCAAAATATTTTTAAATAAAAACTATATGGGAGATTCTTGTAATTGTTAAATACTTTAAGGGACCCGTGTAATTAGCCCAAATATTTTTAAATAGAATATTAAATCAAGAATTGAAGTTTAAAAAGGAAAAAGCCTTGAAAATAAAATTAAGATTTACTCGTACTCTAGAAAATGAATCAATCACAGTTTAAATGAATAGATTTGACATTAAGAATTTAAGGAGTATAGCATTTAATCCAATGTAAAAGCATCTCCAATCCTTTCATCAGAGAAACATTTTTTTTTATCAAATTTGAATTTGTTGAAAATTTAGAAAGATAAAACATTAGAGATAATTTTTCATCAACTTTGATGAAAGGGTTAGAGTCCTTCATATTAAATCAAGTTTTTTACTCAAATTTGAAATCAAATTAGATGAGAAAAAATAGTGAAGGGTTAGAAATGCTCTAAAATTTTTTAGATTTAGATGTCAAGAATAAATTTGAGCTTATAATGATGGATTTCAAATAATTTGCAAAAATAGTGATGTGAAATCCTACCACAAAAATTCTACTTGTACAAAAATTACCACTCTCATATTTCTATTAAATCCTCTACTTCAAAGTCATCAATCTATCTTCAATAAGATATCTTCTTATAATTTTATAAAATTCAATCCCAAGTCCATTAATTTGAAATTCACTCATCCAAAGGGAGCCTAAATCTCAATTTTCAGTAAGGTTTTGTTAATGTAATCCAACATCCCCTAAAATACACTGCACATACATACCAATTTCGGAAAGCACATCATCTTCATTTCAAAGCCACTTTCTCATGCTCCCAATTACTTTATTTAATTCTCCCAATATACCAAAACAAATAAATAAATAAATAAAAATAAAAATAAAAAAACTAATATACAGATCAACAGATCAACATATATGTATATATTATATTAGATCAATAGATCAACAAGATATACATGAATTAGAGCAAAAAAAAACTAATCTTGACCAATAAACAGATCTATAAATAAAATAGATAGATCTATAAATTTCGAAGGAAAAAAAAAAAAAACAGAGGTTAAACCCTAGAACGAAATCCCTAGAGAGAGAGAGAGAGAGAGAGAGAAAGAGAGATACCTACACAGTGAGAGCAGCGACGGTGAGGGAGGTCGGCGGTGACGGAGGAGCGGCGATGAGGGAGAGAAAGCAGCAGCGGTGAGGGAGCGACGAAGAAACGACAGAGGTGAGGCGGTAAGGGAGGATCGGTGGCGACGAAGGATCGCCGGTGAAAAGAGAGGCACGCCGGTAAGAGAAAGAGAGAGGGGGAGACCAAACCAGTTGTGGCGAGCGAGAGAGAGAGAGGATCGAGCGGAGCAGGAGAGCGCCGTGTGAGTGAGAGGCTGAGAGTGTCTGAGTGTGTGTGTCTCAAACCCTAGACAAACACAAGCATATATATATGCAGGGACAAAACGGTAATTTCATCTTGGGGATTAAGCGGGGCCGGGCCGGGCCGGGGCTGGGTCTGGGTCTGAAACACCTATCCCCGTCCCCGGTCCGGATATCATCAGGAATAAACTTTTTGCTAATTATATTCTTCATCTTGCTGCATTTTATTTTTGAAAAAAAGAGTGTAAACACTTAGTGTGTTCGTAAGGCAAACAATTTGTAGTGCTGCTATTGTTTGTGGTAAGATCATTTCATCCTGGGAGATAGACGTCCAAATTCTGAAAGCACCGTGGAGAGGACGAATCTGTCTTAAGGACACAGTGTTAAACACTGGACTTGATCAGAAACGTTATTCAAATAAATTAACCAAGTAAGTTGTTTAATTTTGTTCTGTTTTTATTTGTTTATTTAATCATATTTTAATTTTGTTTTTGTAACAAAATAAAATCTGTGTTTTTATTTATTTATTTTTATTTCGAGTTTGATTTTTGTAATCAAACGTATTCTCTCATTTTCTCTATTTCTTTTATTCTTGTTGTTGTTTTGTACACAACAGAATTTAATCCTTTTAAATACAGTGAAGATTGCCCAACAGATTTTGAGGCTTGTCTCTATTGCATTGTTGTGGTCAGCATGGAGGTTACGAAATGAATGTGTATTTAATGGGAGACAGCCAAATATGGATGAGCTTGGTGAAATTGTGAAAGTGAGGGTTGGGCTGTGGGTTAAGTCTGGTTTGCCCGAGATCCCTTATTCCAAACGTATTCTCTCCTTTTCTCTATTTCTTTTATTCTTGTTGTTGTTTTGTACACAACAGAATTTAATCCTTTTAAATACAGTGAAGATTGCCTAACAGATTTTGAGGCTTGTCTCTATTGCATTGTTGTGGTCAGCATGGAGGTTACGAAATGAATGTGTATTTAATGGGAGACAGCCAAATATGGATGAGCTTGGTGAAATTGTGAAAGTGAGGGTTGGGCTGTGGGTTAAGTCTGGTTTGCCCGAGATCCCTTATTCAGTGTATGATATTGTGGATGGAAGAACATTGTTGGAAAACAAGTTGAAATTTCATAATTTAATTATTGCAATTAAAAGATAGAGGAAATTCTATAGTACACACTCCATTTTGGAATGTGTATTTGAGATATTTGGTTATGACATATAGTGGTGCTACTTATGACTTGATTGTGATTCATTGTGATGTTAGTTACAACCTATTGTGATTATTATTTTAGTTATGATCCATAAAGTCTTTGATTATACCTTACGTAGTGTTTGGTTATGACATTTTATTTTTTAGTTATGACTAAAAAAGATTTAAGGCAAAATTCACTTTACTCCCTTGTGATTTGGGCTTGGAGCATTTTACCTTTCTATGGTTCAAATATAGGCAGAGAGACCCCTTGTGATTTTGAACTAAAGTGTAATACGCTTTCAATTTACAAAATGAGTAATACGCGCGTTATTTTCAAGAGTGAGCATAATTGTTCTTATAAATGAAGTGAAATTAAAATAATTGAAAAACAGAACTACCCCTATCTTCATGTTCCATCTTTATACCCTAAAAACCCTAACTCTAGAAAACCTAATTTTAACCAGACCCGCACTCCCTCCTTCAAGCCACCTTAATTTGCCACTTCCTCTACCCATGCCAACTACCACCGCAATTGCTTCTTTCCTTTCCAGCCCCATTGCTGCCCCTTATATGAAACTTTTCCAAACAACTTCACAACCACTAAAGAAACCAACCTATTATTACCGGCATGACCTTCCACCACCACTAAGATATAACTACCCAACCCTCACCAACTCCATCAAATCGAATGCATATATACACAATTGCATATATATATATATATATATATATACATATGTAGACAATTTACTTTCTAAATTTTTTTGAAGTAACACCAAAGCCAAAGACAAGACTCAACAATTGGGTGTATTTTCCATTACAAATCAGTCATAGCTCAATTTAAATTTGATCTATAAAATTTGATTTTGTTGATAAGGACTGTTAATTTTTGGTGGAAAGAGATCGGTCTATGTATATTGGTAGTGAATATGTATATGAAATTGTGTATGTATATGTATGCATGTTATACGTGTGTTTTGTGTTTGGTTGGATATGGTGTTAGATCATGTTGATTTTGTAGTTTGAGACCTAACAAAAACTTTGGGATTTTGTTTCTTAATGGCGTTTTGGTCTTAGCTCTGTTTCAGTCATAGCCTTTCGTATTCATAAAAATCGATTCTGACATTATTTTGTGTGAATGTCAATCCATTTATATATCGAGTTTGTATTTGATCTACATCCGATATTAGATATTATATTTGTTGAACAAATGTTTTACGGTGTACATATATGTGTGGTTGTAAATATAT